AAAGCGACTGACATGTTCCCTCCTTTGGCAGATAACTTTTATTTACGCCTCGATCAAGAGAGAATGAGACATTGGTCTCTTGAAAAAGTTTTCACCCCCGTCAGATTTCACAAGGAACAAAGATTCTGAAGTATTCATGGAGAAAGCTTCACTTGACAAAGAGTCTTCATACGACTCTTCCTTCTTCAAATCATCACTCAAAACGAAAATCCTTGATTCATGACCCCCACTAACAGAGAGGAAAAAATGTGATTCAAACTCCATTCCCCTTTTCGAAGCTTAAAAAACTACCCTCCAAGTCACTCTTGACCATAATAAGGTTACCACTCATCTTAATGAAAATGTGATAAAAACACGAATACAAGATGAGGTAAAGAAAATGTACCTTGAAATAGTAAGGCGAAGGCGCTGAAACAAGGAAGGAAGCTGGAAAATCAAATCTTTAGTGCCTTAAATTTATGAATGTGTGATAACGATTACTCTGGGAAGTAAGTTCTTTCAGTAAAGAGGGGGAATTAAGAGAGAAAAGGGAAACTCAGTATATGAAATGGCTAAAAAGTTTCTCCACATTCTCTCTTCATCTTTATATATGCAAAGGCAATCAAATAAATCATATCGAAAGCAGAAAGTAAGGACAAATAAACGATCAAATTTTATCTTGGGAAGACAACACACTCTAGTGTACTCGAGTACATAGAAAACTGAGTCACATCACCCCGTACCTTTTCAGGTCACACGTCAAAGAAAAACGGCGAAATATTTTAGTGATAAAATTACATTTAATGCTCACATTCGTATCACGCTTTGACAAAACCAAAGCGACACATGCCAATTGACGCCTGGATGAAATTCCCTTAAGGATGACCATTATAATTGAGAGACTCCCCCAACATCAAGCATGCTCGACGAGTCTTGGAGGCAACTATTTTGTGCCGGCCAAAGACTCTAAACCTTAAACCAGAGAGAGAGAGAGAGAGAGAGAGAGAGAGAGAGAGAGAGAGAGAGAGAGAGAGAGAGAGAGAGAGAGAGAGAGAGAGTATTTGTGTGACATAGATAGATTATATACCAACTTTATATTTGTTCAGCACGTTCGTCTTTACTTTGTGCTTAGTCATTACTTCAATGACGAAACACTGAAAAATTCGTTAGGTCTTCCACTATTTTGCAAATTAATATACAAGAGTTATTGCAACATCGTTCAATTAAGACAACACTTAAAGTCAAAATGCTAAACGAACACATTTCTAAATATAAGTTTTTCTTCTATTATAGCAGAGTATTCAAAACTATCAAATTCATTGGATCTTCGCTAAATCTTAAACAATTTCAAAATTGTCATGTAATTTTTAAGAATTTATACCTAATTTACCCCCGCTAAATTGACGATTTAAAAAAAAAAAAACTTCTATCATATCAACATTTTTAATGATACAATACTTATTAACTTAAAAATGTATTAGGTCTCTCATATCATCTACATTCATACCACCCAATTTGGTGGTGTAAATGGACCTCATTCAATATAATATATTATTTCACATTTCTGATTTACTTAAATCATCCAATTACATTTTTTTCAAATATCTATACCCCTCATCTAAAATTCTAAAATGAATCTCAGTAAACTTATAATATATTCCAAATTTATATTTTACATTAATATATAAATATATAATTTACACTGTTATATATTCATTATTAATATTATATATTTTTTATTATATTTATTGTTTCAAAATTATCTACTAGTTTGTTTTACTACGATGCCAAATAAAGCACCAGTTACAAAGTTTTACTACGCATGCATAAGGCCAGCCCAGATTTAATTTTTTTTTTAAAATAAAGTCTTTAAAATATATTTTAAAATAATAATTTTGTGATTGTTAAGAATTAAACTCAAGATCAAAAAAAAAAAAGAAATTTAAATCTTAACAACTCAATTATGATAATTTATATTTCTAATTATATTATATATTATTATAACTAATAAAAAAAATTGAAATCTTTTTTACGTCCAAATTTTTCAGACTTAAAACCCTAATATAAGTAGCTTGGTCCTGCTGATACATAATATAGGGAAGTTTGTGTAATATTCTCCGACGTGGGTGCTCCCAATATTACACACAGTCGTTTCTACAGACGAAAACAAAAAAGAAAAATAAAATTTCCCTAAACCGTAAATCACGCTCCAAATCCAGTTATCAAGGCAATCCCACAGACACGACAAACAACCTCACATTGACTTCCTCAAAACCCACCGACGTGTCCAATTCCCATTGGCCACATTCCATAACATCCCAACAACTTTTTCAACTTTTCCTTCCACCAACCAAACAACAACCACAAAAAGCAAAACATCCATTTCCCTTCCCAACCGCTTTCCGCTTCCGTCTTTTCCACTTTCCTCTTTTGCATGGACCCGATTCCCTAACTCGCTCTCCCTTTTCCAACCGAGTCCATAACTCGGCCCCGCGTATCAATCATCACACACATACACACACTCTACTTAAATAAATGGCAGCAGTAATGATCAAATGTTCGTGCAAATTTAGTAGCCGTAGATGTTTCTATGAATGTTGTGGAGAAGATGATGATGATGATGATGGAAGATTCTTTGGAAGCACACGAAATGGATGGAACCGGGTCGGATGAGAAAACGGGTAACGGAATAAGAAGAATAAGTTCGAGAGCTGAAGTGGATACTTCGATGCCGTTTGAGAGTGTTAAAGAAGCGGTTACTCGGTTTGGTGGAAGCGGGCCTTGGTTGCCGCTTTACAGGCTTCGTCAGGCTTATGTAAGTTTTCATCTCTTTCTTTTTAGTTGTTTTTGTATTTTGAGAGTTTTTATAAATTTTGTTTGTCAAGGTTAGTGTAGAGACTAGACTATAGAGTAGTTATTTGTTTTCTAGTGCCATTTTGCTTCTCTCTAGATCAAAGGGTTCGAATCCAGCTAAGTGCTAACAATCTTTGAGCATGTAGTGAGAAGATCTGTAAATTCTATGGTAAGAAGAGTAGATCAGATGGAGAAGAGTCAAACAAATCGAGGTAGAGCTAAACCTAAAAAAACTATAAGAGAAGTTATTAAGATAGATCTCGATATTAATGATTATGGATAGAATATTCTGGTGGAAGTTGATCCATGTCTCTGATGTTACACTTTCCTATTACTTGACTCTCAAGTAAACAAAAATAATAAGCAGTTTTTGATGATTGTTTTATCTGTCACGTTAGTGTCTATTGTTTTATCAAAATATAAAAATCGGGACTAACAAGACGGGTGTACCAAACCGTTAGGGACTATTTATTATTTTTAATTACTTGAGGATAAAGTAAGAGTGGAAGTGTAAGTTTAAGGACGGAATTGCTAGTTTACTAGTGTCTAGAGAGTTACAAACAATGTTTTTTCTTTTTAATTTAAGTTAATTTGATGAATTGTTTGCTTAGTGAAATGATGGAACTGTTTTGTTCCTCTCTTATATCATATATTGTGAGCCATTTCATGCTGCTGAGTCAAAACATCACTCACTATGAAATAAAATCTTATCAAGTAAAACTTTATAATTCACTCTTTGATGTTTGGAGATTGTCATTAGCAGAACAGTGTTGAAGACTTCGACATAAAGAGAATAGAGGAACAAGCAGCAAAGTTGGAAAAGGATTTGATAATGAAAGAACTCGAAACACTTGACGTGCTTGAAGAACTAGGATCTGCCAAAACGATTCTGGAGAAATTAAAGCAGCAGCTACAATCTGAAGCACTCAAATGTTCTGCAAATCGAGATGTAAGTTCATGCGAAAGTATCGAAGCTCTTGTTAAAAAATCTACAAGTATTGTCAACCATCAAGAACAGATATTGCAAAGACCAGGACCCTTACCTACTTCACCGCCTGATATGCTCTTAACCGAGTTAAAACAAGCTAAGACGAACCTTGGTAAAACTATAAACGATCTCGGTGTGATACAATCGTCTGTCGAAACTTTGAATAAGAAGATGAAGAAGGAGAGACTTTTTCTCGAGAGGACACGGGAGAATCTACAATCGAAGTTTGCTGCTATCTCTGCTCAAAATGCGGCTGAAAAAGAAGCAAGGTCAAAACCACGGGTAGATCCTGTAGAAGCAGATTTTACCTTTCACACTCCGCAAAATGTTGTAAGGGATTTAAAAATTGATGTTGAACAGAACAATGGAATGGTTGAAACAAGACCCTTTGAAGTTTCAAAGCAAGGGCTTGAGAATGGAGAGAATGATTTTGCTGAGATGAGATGGTTTGCAGCTAAAAAGATGGAAGAAGCTGCAATGGCAGCCGAAGCCGTTGCTCTTGCTGAATTCAAGGCTCTATCTAGTGCTAACAATATATCATCACAGTTTTCTACTCGAGAGCATCACAAATCTCAAATACCTGAAGAGTCTATCTTGAAGAAAGTAATACAATCCTCATTCCAAATTGATGCAGCAACTGCTTCTAAACTAACTGTTCTGAAGAAACTAGAGGAAGCAACCGCAGAAGTTCTAGACAGCAGAGAAATTTTAACAGAAGCTATAAACGGTATTGAAACTGCAAGCAGAAAGCAACAGGCTGCGGAAGAGGCTCTAAGGAGATGGATTCATGAAAACGGTCCAAAGGGTGGGGCTATGCATAGCTCGATTAAACGAAACAAGTTCAATCGAGTTGAAAATTGCCAAGCTTTGAAGCCCGCCTTAAGATCCTCGGTTTCAATGAGAGATCTACTTAATAGGAAGCAAGTTCCTGACGAATATCCCACAACAAAGGAGATGGAGAAGCATGCTGAAACAAAGGTAGCATTGAGTCAAATGCTTCAAACACTGAGGGAAAATCAAACTCTTCAAACCGAACATGAGAATGGTGAGGATGATCAAAAACAGTCTGTAGTACAAAGGAAGAAGTTTGGATTCATGCGATTATCATTCCCCTTGGGAAAGCGGAATAATAAGAAGACATGAATTTAATCCTAATGATTATGCAACAGCTCGTGCATCAATGTTTTGCGATTCTTTATTGGTTCTTATGTTATGTGAGATTTTTTGGTTGGTATGTGTAGAAGTTTATGCCGTGTTTGATTTCGCAAGTTCTGTTGATCCTACCAAAGTACTAGGTATTGGGAATTCAAGTGCAAGTTTGGATTTTTGTCTGTTAAAGACTTGAGAATGAGTTTCATGAAGAGATTATGTGACTACAAATTCATAGTTCAAAGTTTTGGTGAAATTATAAAGACATAGTCACACTATTTGTAGCATGTGGTACAGATTTTCCTGTTTTTGGACTCTCTGGAAACCATGAACATTGAACATCTTGTTGTGTATACAAGCTTGAAACATGGGAGTTTCACTTGATTTTTAAATTGTTCTTTACTTTTTATCATATAGATTCTTTGTGATTGAATTTGCACTTTTGTTGTGAAGCAATTGAATAAAAAGTTTTAATATTTCATACACACAAAGAGTGTCATATTTGAAGTGATAAGAAAAATCAATAAAAGCCTCTCCCTCTTCTAGAACTTTTTTTGCTACTATTTTATGAATTCTGTTTTAAGCTTATAGAGGATTAATGGGTTAAAGTTGTTGAAATGCAACCTATACAATATTTCAATTGAGTGCAAGGCTCACATGAAGCTTATGTGTTGAATGAAGAAAGAAGTGCATGCAAATTCTGTGAACACGTTTATAGAAAGAAACACACAAATAATAAATGAGTTTTGTTATTTGATAAATAATACATGAGAGGTATGTATAGAGTACCAAAGTAAAAAAGAAAAAGAAAATTCTAGCCTGAAAGTCAGAGTAATAATTCTCCCTATAATTTATAATTAGATAAATTCATACAATGCTGAATTATTATTAACATATTGTTGCTGAATTATTATTTACATCTTGTCATTATAAGTTGATGATTATGTGTTGATTTACTTTAATAAATTTCAAACTCCCCCTCATGCTGGCATGTATATGTTACTCATTGTAAGTTTGTTCACAATGACATACAAAGCTCACCATGATCAATTTTTTTCTTTATTGAAGTGTTTGTTCACTTCAACATGATTCATTATGTCGTGTAGGACATATGATTATGGACAATAGAAATAGTTGTTTTATTATTATAATAGATTTTCATTGTTTTTGGGTTAGAAATCTTCGATTCATTCATAAATTTTGGGAATTTCTTTTCACATCTCTATAGATTTTAGTTAATTCTCGATGAAAAGTAAGAAATATTTTCAGATTTCGAAAATGCATCTCTGCACACACCGTTATCTTACAAAATAAGCGCATATAAATGAGTGTCTTTCATTTTACTAAAATGTAATTCGGAAAAATATCTATGTATGTGTTTTAAGGTGTGTTCGTAGATGTATCTCTGGATTAATCCTTATTTTTAAATTCATAAGTTTTTTTCGGAGATGCATCTCCGAACGCGTTTAATTAATATATATTATGCACGCGAAAGACATATCCATATTCTCCTTCTTCATTTTCTGAAACTTTTGTGATACTTCCACTTGAGCTTGTGAGCAACTTTCTTCCGGTCCATTTTTCAAGGATCAAACTACCTCTACTTCAAACTCTTCAATTTCAAACCATTCTTATTGAGTCACACAATGCCTTGGGTTACCGGGGCAGAGGAGGAGCCAGGGGTAGGATTAGGCATACATAGTAGGTTGTGTTTTTTTTTGTTTCTTTTATATTTATTTTGGGATGTTTTAGTATTATTTTCCATACTTTGAGAATAATGTTTGTAATATTATAGATGTTATTTTAATTAATGCATTACTTTGTTCTATAATGTGCGTGTTTATTAATGTTTGAATAGAATTACGACATTGTTAATTGGAATAAAATGACTTTGTCTTAAAAAAGAATACAAACTTAAGACAATATTTATGCCTAAGATGCATGCAGGAAATTTTCGAAGATACATATCCGAAATAATGATGTTTAAATAGCTTAAAATGCACTCAATAGTGTTTTTGGAGATTTATCGCTGAATACACTCCATAAAAATTTCGCAGATGCATCTCCGGACCAATTTTTTCAAAATGAGAGTGTCTGCCTGATTTACAAAGGATGTGGTGATTTAAGATGCATCCGGAGATACATCTTCGAAAGTATCTGAGAGAAATTATGGATTTTCAAAGATGTGAGCCACATCTTAAGGGTGGAAAAATAAATTTCCTAAACTTTTTAACCCATAATAATTCACAAAACCATGGGCCACGGTGCAGAATTTAGCCTCTGCACTGCTCCTAGTTGTATCCTTTTACTTTTTACTTCTCCATATAACTTAAAATCTACAATATAGGAAAACTATATGATCTATAAAATACCAAAATACCCTTCTACTCCTATAATCATCCATGTGGATGCCTTCTGCATCCAGCTTCAGTTTTGTTTCTTACATATTGTAGATATCGTAGATTGTTTTCAATTGTTTTCAATTTCTTCCAATTTCATTCTACAAAACAAAATCTAATAAAATACTATTTCTTTCCAATTTATTTCCAATGCTCAATAAAATATAGTAAATCTTTTCTTGGGAATACACATATTTTACTAATTTTTTCACATCAATGTCTTTTCCCATTCCATTCATTTCAATACTATAACCACTCTCATTTCGTCCTCTCTTCTTTCTTCTTTGACTTTTTTCATTTTCACTTCTCTCTTCATTTTCAATCTTCTTCCTCACAATAGGAGACATCATCTTCATTCATCATCAATGGAGTAAAGTTTCTTTTACAAACCTTTGTATATTTTGCATGTTTAATTAATTAACCCAGTTTTCATTTTTCTATTTTTCAGTTGCTATTCATTATTATTCACCAAAGATTTCTCTTCTCAAGCAAAATTCTATGCACCATTAATTCTACTAGGGTAATCCCTCACAAAGTTTTATTTTAAAATTCAATTTTTCTAACTATGAAAGGTTACCCCTCGCAATACACAACTGAAATTTAAAACACCCCTCCCCTAAATTTTGTGATGGATTACTCCTCGTATTAGTTTTATTTCTATTTCTTTGTATTGCAAAAGGTTTAACCCTTGGCTACGTCATTTATTTTTTAAGGAGTTTTACCCCTGGTAGAAATCCATCACAAAATGAACAATTTCTTGTAGAAATGCATCTTCCTCAATCACTTACATCTAATATTGCATCCTCTTTATCATGCATTAAGCATATTGAATTTTACCTGCATGCATCCATGAAACACCTCCATGGATTCATCAAGCACATGCATCATCATGTGATTAAAATCATTGAGTAACTGTAAAGGGTTTTCATCCTGCACCAGTCTTCATCATTTCATCATTGTCATGTCTCATTTTCATGCATAAAACCATGTAATGGACAGTGGTACAATATTTTGAAGTGTACAATCCCTTGTACCATTACTAAGTTTTTCTCCTTTTTCATATAGTTTGTGAGAGCATTAACTTAAAACTACTAACATGTTTGGATTGGATTTTGGAAGATCCATAATCAATTCTAGAGGTATAGAATTGATTCTAGGTGATTTTTAGGTGTTTGTTTTATTAAAAGTAGATTTGATTCTTTCTCCAGAATTGATTCTACTTGAAACTATAATTTGTAGCTTCTAACTCCAAAATTGATTTTGAGTAATTTTTCCACTTAAATTTATTGTTCAAGTCACTTATACATAAATGTATCCAAATATAAATCGATTTTGATAAATTCAATTATGTTAAAATCAATTCTATCAAACTCAATTCTGTTAGAATCAATTCTGTTCTCATGCATGCATTCTTTCCTCTTTTGTGTTGAAGATGGTTATTTTATTTCTTCATAACACTCTCTACTCTCTGTTAGTGGTTAGCTAGTTCGATAATTGGGATCTTAAGAGATAACATCAGTATTAACTTCGTCTGTAATCAGTTTTTCATGCTTGGACTTTCTCATGTTATCTTATAATATTTGGGAGGAGAATATGTGCTTTTAAGTTCATAAGTGAATGGTGCTCTTTTGGAACTGAGAGCTAATGATTATCAGTTATGGGCATTCTGTTCATGTCTCTTTCCCTTGGTCATCAACTTTTACTTCTTTTAGGAAAGAGTGTTGGTTAAGATGTCAAGGGTTTCCCATTCATACTTGGGAGGCAAGTAAGTTTCTAAACATTGGTAATGTCTTTAGTAAACCCTTAGAGGTAGTAGATTGATTTGGGTCGTAGCTTAACTTTGATTTTGGAAGAGTTAAAGTGATTTGAAACCTAGAGAATCCTATCAGTGAAATAGTTAAGTTATTTGTTGGAAAGGAAGTTTATTCAATTTTTTGTGTTGGAGGAAGGTTTCTTCTGTTCTTGCAATGGTGGTGGTCAGGAACATTTAAGAAAGATTAGTTAAGATAGCACAACTCTTGGATTGAATAAAGGTGGGTGTGAAGTTCTTTCGAGCTTTATTGGATTATTTTCAATTTTTGGAGGTGAGGAAGATGAAGTAAGTCAGTAGAGATTGTGATTTCATTGATGGGGTGTAAGAGGAAAGATAGAGGGGATTAGTTAATGTTGGTTTAATCCATGCTCACCACTCCACGCATGCTTTCGTTGGTTGGCTTCCATAGGATAGCAACCTCTTGTTTTGCTGATGAGAGGAAAGAGTTTGAGTATACTTGATATGCCTACTTTGCTTATGAAGGATTGCAAGATTTGCATGTCACCCTTTTTATTAGTTCAGATGAAGTGGGTCCAGCAGTTGACCTAGTAAAAGATGATCACGCTTTTTCCCATATTCATCTTAATATCTCCTTAAAAGAGCTTAACACCACTTTTTTAAAGGAGGTTGTGAAGCTCATTTCCAAACAAACTCACTTTTCTTTCATTACTGGTATCTCCATCCATAGTTGAGAGTAGACATAAGTTTATTGTAATTGATTTTGTTAACAACGGTCATTGGGTTCAGGTGAAGTTAAAACTCGATTGTTCATTACCTCTTGTCATTGACTGCTATAGATAAAATCAATGTTGAAATTTTGATACATAAATACTAGATTTCGAACTAGATGTCACAACACTAATATCAGATCAGTCACAACAAAAATAATTATGCAAGGTAAACTGTTGAAAGTAAATAACATAGATAATTGTTAACCCAGTTCGGTGCAACATTATCTACATCTGGAGGCATCCAAGTCAGGGA